CATCCATCCATCCATCCATCCATCCATCCATCCATCCATCCATCAATCCATCCATCCATCCATCCATCCATCCATCCAGTCCCTTTCTATCCATCCTAAACGTCTGAGATTAAATTAGAAACTAGAATGATCTCTGCATCAAAGAAAAATATTTCTTTGTGTGAATTGTTTTACTTAGAACTGGTAGCTGAAGCCTTTTCTTTGATCTGTGTTTGTTGAAGCAACAATTTCCTTCCAGTGTTGCTCCACTCGAGCCGCTGGAATGTTCCCTTTGGGTTTCGAGGGAGGGGGTGTCAGAATAACTCGACCTATATTTCCCGGACAGCTCGGATTCGATGACCGAGGCGCTGTTGGAGCTCACAGAAAGGGCTGTTTCTGTCTCCACTGTCCTGAAAAAACCCATGGAGATGCAGGGCACACATCTCAAACCAAACAAACACCAGGTTTGAAATCACTGGTGACACYTGAAAAGTGCCTCAGTCAACAAAAAAACAAACAATAAAAAAAAAGCATTCTCAAAAATTCATCATCTGAAACATTTCCAACTGAACAGAAACATAGAGCTGAAAAACTTCAATTTGCTCAAACAGCGGGGGGTGGTGTTTGATAAGTACAAATGTCTACTCTCCTATGTGGTGGCAGTTACCATGGAAAACCTCAGACGCATACCTTTCTCCAGGTAAAAGAGCCAACCTTTATGTGGAGCGTGGAGTCATTTTTCAGCCTTTTAGGTTTAGCTCTATAATCTCAGAAACTGAGTCCAGGGCTTTAAATGGTGCCTTTGTTCTCAGGCGGCCGTTTGCTCACAAAGGAACCTAAACCTGATGGAAAAATTGCCTGATATATATATATTTTGGGGCTCTGAACTAATAAAGAGCAGCGTGTTCATCGCCACGCTTAATGTCAGAAGCCTGTGGGCCTTTTTTTGCTACAGAACAATGACGAACAGCGACCCAAGTGTCATCGTGTCTGAATTCTTTAATGAAAAATGAAGCTATTTGTCATCTAAATCTTCCGTTATTCAGCGAGGTGCAGTTTTCAGCAGGGTGCATCGTTGCTCGTTATGATGCCACACTGTGCATCCAAGTCATTAAAGGCAATATTTGAAGACCGTTGACTCATCAAGATTGATTCTCAGTCAAGGGTTGTGTTAGCTGTGGAGTTTTGTGAATTGTTGTGATACTTTAACTTTCACTGAGTGTTAACTGGAGACATATTGACTTGTGTGTGAGCAGAAACACTGGTCTGATTTACAGCCTGTATACGTGTTTCTGTTTACACGTAAACAATCTCTGAAGATGTTAGCATTTTTCAAATGTTAGTTGTGGAACAGTCACTTTAAGGTTAAATTGCAAACAGCAAACRAAACAGCACTCTGCTATCCACCATTGTTACTGTTGTTCATCAACTTGCGCAGAAAAACTGTTGACTGCAGCCGCTGTAGTGCGCGCGAGATAATGTTAAATGTTTGACGTGGTTTCGGACAATTCTATTGATGCTATTGAATAATATTAGCCTTAAACGCTTGTTTCATTTCCAGTGTTTCTTTCAGGTTCCGGTTGTCCAAGCCATCAACGTCTATTAATAATGTTTTCAAGTCCACTTTTCACACTTAAATAAAACGTCTGATACACTAACACAGTGTTGTTGGAGCAGATTCCTTCAACTTCAGCCCCGGAGAAACTCCGAACCGTTTTACTGATCAGGGGTCGGATTTATAAAACTGGCGTACGCACAATATGAGCCCAGAAACTTGCGTACGCCACTTTTTACGCCAAGGTTGTGATTTATAAAATCCAAACTTGACGTGAAAATGTGCGGTGCCTCACGCCAGCTTTGATCCATGCTACGCTCATTTTGGAGACATGAAACTGCGACAGATGGTGAAGTGGTGAATTAGAGCCCCACTGTGTAATGATCACTGTCAGATATTTAATTTACCTTCATCAGACT